CCTTTCTACTCGTCAAATTAACGAATTTTATTATGTAAATGAATGATAAAATAGTTATTTAAGTTAGGAGTGCAAAAAGTAAGGTTTTACGAATAAGGGCCAAATTTCATTGGCACCAATTCGAAAAACCTTTTACGCTTAGGTTTCTTTCAACATTTTTCAATACTTTTTGCGAGGAAATAAAACAAATATATAGGTTAATAAAACTAAGTGTGTATTAAAGGTAAAAATTATTTGTTAAAATTAAACGTGATATTTGAACATGTTTTCGTGTCATACATTTTTATTTGAAAATATTCGTTCTAGGTTCCTTGAAATACTTTTGTCTCTAAAGTTTGACATATTTTCATCAATATTTTTTTTTTAATTTCTTTGGTGTCGGCCAAAAAAAAATTAAAAAAATTCTTTTAACCACGTGTGCAGTAAAGGATTTCGGTACATTTTTATTTAACACGTGTTTAAAGACTCATTTTCGGTGATTACAATGGATTAAAAAAATAGCGCTTTATGAGCAATTGCATTGAAAAATAAATTAAATCAAGTCGTTTAAGTAAACTTTTATCTTAATGTAATATGCTTAAAAAATTCGCTGGTACTCTAACGTGGTACCAGGGACAAAGTGGATTTTTTTAAGGATTTTTTATTAAGAATATATTTCAGTATAACATTGTGAATGCAAAATTTAACAAATATAATAAAAAAAAAAAACATATTTTAGAAAATTATGAAACTAAATGTGTCCTTTTATTGGATTTTGGTATAGAAAATGCAAAGGTTTAAAAACTAGATCACAATAATTAAACAAGGAGGAGTCCCATAAGTATGAAATTTTGAAAAAATAAAACTAACTTTAAACACGTGAAATTAATACTCATATTAAAGGTGGTTCATGTTTATGAAAATTCTATTGAAGTCGACCGGAGACTTGTTGGTTGTTAATATTAAAATAAAAAATTAAAAAAAATTCGGTCTACAATTCTTGAAGAAATCGGTGAATATGCACAAAAAACATACTCTTACGTTTGAATATAGAATCTCTTCCTTTCCGATTTTGAAGTCAGGTAAAATAATCTCAAATATTTTCTATCGTATTGAGAACCAAGGTGAGGTATCTTAATCGTTGTGATATATTTTTTAAATTGACATTCTGGAAACAAAATGATAATATTGGTAATGTTAATAAATATAAAGAAGCGCACAAGATATTATTATTTTCACCGTGTATAACACGTACCTATAAGTGAGTAGATACCTAACAGTTTAACATTCAATTCGGAATGGTAGCTTTAGTACTACGCCCCAATGAATAACGGTATTGTACAAACAATCAATTTCGAATAATCCGTAAGCCCGCCGCCGGCGCCTGCTGTAAGCGGATAGCCGACCGGTCCGGCGGAGCGACCCGGATCCGATTTGTAGAATTAATCTCAATTTTGATTTCGCAGATCTAACTAGACGTTGAATTACCTGGTGATAATTACAGTGCTAATTGTTAATGTCATTAATTACGAAAACCGTTGTGAAGTTTTATTATGACAAGGATAAATATTTCGACAATAGGAGAATAATACTTACACAAATAGAGCACATGCACATCATAGATGTACATGTATTTGTAAAATCCATTAATAAAATAAATGCCGCGTACTTATTATGTTTCGTAGCGTTATTATCAAGCATATTAAAAACCGATGAGTATTTATGAAGAGAGCAACGAATGCCAGGAAGAGTAAGACATGGACTTTTTCGGTTTCTGCTTACCCCACGAGAGATTTCACGTGAAAATATAGATGTTATACTTTCACCCGAAAATATATAAAAAGCCCTTTAAAACGTCAACGTTAAAAAAAACTTACACTAAACGCTCAGAAGCCTAAAAACCGGCGAGCTAGAATGAAAATAGCTCAAATTGGTACCTAGTAAGTAATGAACGTTGAGAAAGCGAAAGATGTGTTAAATGCCTTGCCTTGTGAAGGTCGATCTCTTTGCCTACCGTAAAAGACTCAGCATGAAGACAGATAGTTTATAGTGTACATACAAAAATTATTCATAAAAAATATCCTCAAATTAATCTATACAAAACAGCTCTTAAATGAGGTAATACGTTATTTACAAGCTTTCAATAGAGGCACAAAAGAGGTGACAGCTCCTAATATCGTAATCGGGAATAATTAACGCGGCGTGAGTGCCCTCCCACTTAATCCCTTCAAAGGACGTTGTCAAAGTAACGGGGGAAAATTGTTTAATCTTCTATTGATTGCTTTGAACTGGAGTCAAGAATTGGCTACACTTATCAATTTACGGTGTGATTATGATAGTACATTATTTTTAATAACAAACGCATATACCTATTACATATAAAATCTAAAGTTAAGTCATTAGAAAGTCTTTTTTTTATTTAAATTGGTACCTAGTAAGTACAACTCTACAGTCAAACTTATTTCTTACCCATTAGGTTAGGACTTGTCTTTTTTATAATTTGTATTGAATCATAAGCTGTCATTTTTTGGGCAATTTTGGTAACTATGTCACTGTTTAGTGTACTAAACAAAGTACGAGCTTCCATCAACACTGGTGGTGATTTAGAAGGTACTTTTTATAATCACTTTTTAGACTTTTGAATTTTTGAAATGGGTTTTAATTTTACTCATAAAGTCCAGGGATGTTCATGGTTATATCAGTTTTTGTAAACTTGGAAAATTAGCTGGTTCACTCATACCACGTTTAATCATCAATAATAATTGTTAATAAAATAAGTTTTTTTTCATAAATACTAAAGCTGACTTAATAATAATTTTCTATAACTACAAAGACATAACGTATTTAGTATTTCAAGCCTAGCTTATAACCACTCGACTTCAGGGCAAGTATACAAATTTAAAGATAATTTTTTGACCTTGTCTTCGGGGCTTAAAAATCCTTTCTACACTAATGTTGCCTTAAGAGCCTTTTCAAATAAGCATCGCAATGAAATTAAATACAAATTAATAAGGACGACGCTAAAGAAAAGTACTTTACGTAAAGACTTAATCAATGGTCACTAACTACAAAGAAAAGGGAAAATTCGCACCGCAGGGTGTGCAATACGAAAATCCCAGATTAATTGGTCCCCGCGAACCGGATCGGTACTAAATTAAACATTTTCTCTTATTTAAAACCGAAATGAAGTCCATTTGAATTCGAACCGCCAGTAATTACAGAGTTTACGACGTGCAAAAGCTTACTGTCGGCCATTTTAGCAAAATGGCCGTCCTCCCAATGGGACAACGCGACACCGCTTCGAATTAAATTAGCGATGTTTCGAATTGTCGAATTTAATCAATGCATTAATTACTCAAGTTTATGGTATTTATAGTTGTGAACTTTGTTGTATCGTTTAATTAATAGTGTAAGTATTTTAATAGTGAAAGCATTTTGTGAAATAATTTGTTTTCTAATTTGAATAAATATTTGATTTTTACATGAGTCTGACGAGTAACAATCCCTTTGCTCTTATAACGAATAAAAAAATGTACCAATGACAAGGCAGTATGCTCTATGAACTTAGCCTGTTTCGAGAAGGAACGATTATTTCAAAAAAATAGCCTGTGTAAATTATAGTTTATGTCACCTGCGTATTAAGTAACTTTTCGTAGTTGAAATAATTTTAAAAATGGGGCTAAAGATTTAAAGCCTTTTCAATAAAAACAAAAACTTACATCTTTCCTCCTTATAGTTTGCAATATAGACCATACAGCAAAGTAGGTTTTAATGAAAAAGATATAGTCAAGCAAAAGGCTGCATACTTTCAATAGGTATAAAAAGCAAACTCTTTGCCAATAATAAAACCTTTAATATTAAAAACCGCACTGCATCAACGAATCGGAATGGAATACCTCTAACGAATAAAAAAAAAACTAATCGCCGATTACGGTCCCCGCCACTACGGTGATTGGAAAAATTTTCCTTCTACAAACTTTTTAAATTGGATTCAACTGAAGCTCGGTTTGGTTCGAATGCTCGAGAGACTTGAACGGCAGTAGATATTGCGATTCACTCAATACTTTACTATTAAATTGCATCTTTGAGAAACGTTTACGTGAGGAAAAGAAGGGTTTAGTTGAGTAATAGGATATTTCGAGATATCGGTTTGAAGTATCTAAATATCTGAAAAGGGTTGGTGTTATATACCTATATTTGGAATGTTATTCTATCTTAAGGCAATATATTACGGATAATAAAATTCTGTACATGAAATGGTAATGGTGTTTTAATTTGTTGAAAGTTTAAAAATCGAAGATCTTTTTACGGATTTTTAAAAAATCTATGTTAATAAATTATTAAATCGACATAAACGTTAAAATCTCTAGAGGGTTTCCAATGATTGAAATTATGAAAATTTTGTGGACTTACGGAGATAGGTTTCGGTCGTGCTCCTTTTCTTGAATTCTTATTATTATATAAAAAGAATTGTTTATACACTCAACTCTATTTTGAGCACAGTTTATTTAATTTATTTTTAGTGAGATATTAACAGCACTTTATTTTCGGAGAGGAGCTTATTTCTTCTTCTTTTATTAATGGCTTATTTGCGCATTTTGCACAATTCTGCGAATGTCAAGTGAATAAATTAATTTCTACATGTAAAATGAAAAAATAAATGACGAGGAGCTTATTTGCGTTGACACATTACAGATGACAGAGAGAGATCTTCTTTTTTTTATATTGTACGGGTGGAATTTTAAAAAGGTTTTATTATCTACCGCTAAATGAGACGGTTCTCAACGTTGAACCGATATTTATCAAGTGTTTAATAGCGAACTCATATTTTATTAAAAATAAATATTTAAGACAACATTGTTATTTTATTTTAGTAACTTTTCTTTAACTTGTGGGCTATATGTGAAAATATGTTAATGACTAATAATGATCTTTACAGCGTAATCATTCTAGATACTAGTTTTCCGAATAAGTAAATAAATAAACAGTAAAAGTAGGACATTCCATTAATTTTAACTTACCGCATCTCTAGGTTGGTCTTCTTCTGTGGTCTCAATATCTACACTTTCATCGCTGTCACGGTCACTTTTAGCTGAGCGTGCGGGTGATGAGCGTAGGGGGGAGCGGGGCGGTGAACGGGCGGGTGAACGAACCGGTGAGCGACTCCGCCGCGGTGATGACGCTGTCGGTGACCTGCTACAGATTACAAGAACTTTCAATTAAACGTTTTAATTCTAAAGTGGCTTATTTTATTTGCTTTATTGTAAGATGGCAACTAAAATCTTCGACTCTTACTATCTTGTGAAAGTGTGAAATAAATAAAGTTACTGCATAAAAAAATACAATACGTAGACTTTCGAGTCTATATAAAATATGTATAAGATTATAATTGAAACAAATTACCCATCTATAATACTAATATTATAAAGTAAAAAGATTTTTTTTTTTGTATTCGTTGGGGCTAAAACTAACGGACCGATTAAAAAAAATACATCCACGGGAGGTGCATCAAATGCGAGTGACATATGCTTTAAAATACGTGGGCGAAGTCGTGGGTAAGTTAAGTTATGTAACAATGTTAGTTTCGTAACTGATTTTTATTATTACCAATACTTTATTTTCATTTGAACAGTTGAAATCACAGTAATTAACATATCGGATCTGTGAATGCCGATAAACAACTTTTCAAAGGTCGACTATAGAATGGGTGATCAAAATATATGATCTTGTTTCGTTATGGTCCGGTTACCCAGTTTCATTCCATTAATAGAGAAAGCCTGTGCCCCCTGCATGGGTTCGTGATCTTCTCTCACCGAAGTTGCTTTGCAACCACAAAAATGATAGGCTTATGATGAGTCAAAATATATCACCTGTTGGGGGATCGAGGAGGTGAAAGCACAGGTGATAACTGCGGTGAATCCAATCGGTGTGAACGGACAGGTCTGAAAGCTCGCGGCTCTTCTAATGCGCTCACTCCACTCAGCGCTGTCAAAGCACCTAATAAAAAAATAAGTCCATAATTTGTTTCTATAATAAATCAACATGCACCCGAGGGCTTATTCTATTTGTTTTCGCAAATTTGGAAAATTTCGAACCCTTCATTCATAATTTTGTAAAATTATATCCGTGAAGATTATTGTATCTTGTGATAAGAATCTACCAATGTGTGTACGGAGGGGTAAGTGTAAGTTTTACGCTTACCCATTACTAGTGAGCGCTTTAAGAATCTGGATGGAGATTTGTAGTTCTTGGTAGTTACCGCTAGGGGTGCTGTACCGGATTCCATACTAACATGAAGCGCTCAGAAAGGTGAAAAAAACTAATCACCTTCATGGATGAGGCAACCCATAAAATTATCCACTACTATCTCAAAAATGATAATATAAAATATATAATATATTAGTGAATTAATATTATAAAACTATTCCGATGTCACGCAGTTGACAAACGAATTTCTACGGATTGATGATCTGATCTATCTCAGTCAAATGGTTCCCAGCTTAATCATAAGTCATTCTTTTAAAATCAAGCGGAACTGCTATGCTGTAAAAAACGTGGAGCACAATGCCTGTTTTTTTTTTTATAGGATATTCAAACTGTACAAAGTGCTTGCTCTAGGGTCTTGTTGGTGCCTCTTTTATGATATGGATGACACTGATTTCCTTCATACATTCCATTTCTATTTAAATAAAGTTCCCAGTTTATACTAATACACTACGAATCTCATTGAGATACTTATCTCTTATAACAATTTTTACCTGGTGTCCACAATGAAGGTTTCAACCAGGGTATGGCGTAGGGGAGTGGTAACCTCGCACCCCACACGTAGTCTGCCAGTCGCGGCACAGGAGCGTGCGCCGGAGGACTGGCGGGCGGCCGCTTATTATCACTTGCTGCCTCTGCCTCGGGTCTGCGGATAGGAACCCTTCTGGAGCACAATTTTAAGCTGAACTAGTTCCACAGAATTTTTTATCAAACAAGTATTTAAATCGCTCGTATTTATAACAATAATAATAGATAACGAATATAACAATTCTTTATATTATATTATCATTACATTTCGAATAAAAAAAATAACTATTACAATACAATTGTGAGTAAACATATTGGGAAATATCTCTCTCATCCTATTATGCTATGCTACGTAAAGGCTACGAGAAATGCTACGACAACACGTAGCATAATTTCACACTTGCAACTTTTAGTGAAACCCTTTTTATTTTACTGTATATATACAAAAATTTATATTTTATGATTTGATGAGTACTTTTTATAAAAATAAATTAAATTAAGATGTAGTAAAATCTACATTGTATTAGTTGGGTGTGTGAAACTCATTGTATCAGCGCGGAAATATTCTGCAATAGATATAAACCTTAAGTCAGTGGTAAGTATACACATTCAGATTCTTTCTTTTAGTCAATTTAATAAGTAAAAAGTATTTAGATACAACTCTTATCTTGCATTGAAATAAACGGATTAATTGTCTAAACCATAGTTGAGTAAGCACAAAGAAGCGTATAATAGATGTGCCATATTTTTTTTTACTTTTAACAGTGATTTAATGAAAAACTCATGTGTCTTATTAAGCTACAACTTTATCGCAATCAGATCTTATATCGCATCATAAAGATGCAAGTGTAAAACGTTGTATTCATCTAACAAATCATTTTGAGTTTTGCAAATAAAATATCTGGGATATTTATCTAATTTTCGTTTAATTAAAATAATGTCAACATTTATTCTTCATCACATAAGATTATCTAAATATTATTTTAAACAAAAAACGTTTGATTAGTTTTAAAATTACCTAGCGGCCGACAGCATCCTCTTGCGCGTTCCACCATTGAACATTGCTTTAACATCTTCCCAAGCGTGGATCACCTCATCAGGTGGACTACCGCTTAGTTTCATATGCCTCCGCCAAGAGTTAAAGTTGGCAGCATCCGGCTGGACATATTTATCACCGGGACCCACTCGATGCGAATGGAAGATAAATTTATTGGGCGAGAAGAAAAGACCACAGTATGCGCACTTGATGCATTTCGCACGGGATGAGTTGTACCTGTATGAATAAAAAGGAAGGATATATATTTCTGGTGACCTGGCGGTAATTATGTTATTGACTTAAAATTTTATGCCATTATAAATGAATAATTTGACGTGAAACTTTGTTTTATAAATGTGTTGATATTTGTTATGCTGATCGGAAGTAGTCTTCTGGGTAAAGGAAATCATCTTTTGCTATCTTAAAGACTGGTATTATTTATAAAAAGTTAATTGAAATTTTTCAATTTTCACGTTTTTATGCAGGTAGAGAGAATAAGCTCTATTCACATACGTCTTTAACTTCATTGACTTTTTAACTGAATTCATATGAGGGTCTCCTTTTCATGGCTAATGTATAAGTCGTAAACAGTTTACAAAACTCACATTCAATTACATTATTAAGACTTAAAATCGATCGGGGAAATTTCCAATTGTGTAAACAATACCTGGCTGGTAGAAAAGCTCCGCGACATCCCCAAGCACACTCATGATGTACTGCGAATGCGAAGTCATCAGGCAGCCGTGGTGGAGCATTATCACCTAAGAATGACTTGCAAAGTCGCTCAGCTTCTCGACGAGTTATCATACCTACGTAATGCGTAAGATTACTTAATGGACAAACTCTTCTAGTCTACTCATTAGCCATTTTCATGAAAAGCTATATTATTCTGTTAATAAACAAGCCTCAAAGTAGTCATCTAATGTACTATCACAAATAGTAGTAAAGGTTTCGTTTTTGGCCCTGGTCATGAATGAGTATTTATTAGCTCAATTAATTAAGGGTCTGATTTACATGAGTGAACGTTGCTGAGTTGTTGCATTTCAATAGTCGACGGCGAGCGAATCGATATTTCATCTTAACTTTTACAAAATCTGAACTAAGTATTCTCAATAAATTAAGTTTTTTTTCGTTTTAAATGCCAAAAGTCCTAGTTTTATCAAATTTAGTTAACAACTGATTATTAAAAAAGATAAAATCAGAAACGAAAACCTGTTTAAATGACGTTTAAGACGTTTAAGAATTAAGTACGGTTTGAGACGTGCTTAACTTCAAAATCTCAATTGAGAAACCGGGTGTTAAACAAGTGAATTTTTAAAGAATCGAAGAGATAATTCGTTGTTTATTTTTTGTTTCAACGCAATAGTGTGGTCTTTTAATTTGTAAAGTCAGGGAAACCGATAAAAAATCCTTTTCCACTTTAGAATTGTTAGGTACCTACATAAAATGCTAAAAATTGATATGCAATTTTAAATTTTGTTGTAATATATAAGTTAGGTCAGTTCATTTCAAGAAACAGTAGTATAAAATTAGCTTTACTTTATTTATTATTAATGCATAAAGAAAAATCTAAAGTTCTTTTAAAATAGTACGTTTTCTTCTCAATTTATTTACATTTCATCCAAACTACTAATGTAGGCATCTTGACGACATATTAATTTTGTCAAAAGTTATTAAATGTTGTGAAGTTTCTAGCGATATTTTTTTTCTACAAAACTAAAAAAGACCTGAAACCGATTCCAGTAGTCAAAAATATGGACTATTCAAAAGAATTACATATTACTTACTTAATCCTACTAATTAAAATGTAATAAGAATTTTGGTTTTCGAATTGTATATTCTTATAGTACTTACCACATCTCCGCGATGACACCGGCATCGCTCCAGCTCTTCTCAGAATCTCCAGCTGTACAGGAGTACATTGCACACACGTAATGCCCAATGCCACTCTACGATTATGTATTTCGTTGTACGAAAACTGCTTTAGCAAAGTATTGGAGATCTGAGCGAGGCATAACCTCTCAACTCCTTCTATTATGAGTGACACAATTGGGACTCCATACAGAAGAACTGTACCGACCTGGAAACAACTAAATGCTTAGAAGTTAGAAAGAAAAGATCGTTGGAGCTGAGCTCGGACTCCATTTCTGAGGTCTCCGTTTCAATTTTCGTTTGGGTCAATGTAGAGAATGAACTTTTCTAAATTTTTTTGGTCTGGTTGTTGTGTAACCTTCGTTGTTAAGGATTTCCAAAGTTTTTCGGAGTGTTATAAGATACCTAATATTTATTATACTTACGAACAGAATCATCGACTTATTGATGTACCTACAGCTGAGGACACACAGGGCCTTTGATATGAAAAGAATCTCAGGAGGAATCTCATAACCTACCGCATAGGCTTAGTCTAACTTGGTGGGAGTTAAACACTGAAGATATAATCAGAGACATTAGGTTAAACGTTCTTTTCAAAGCGCGAAGGAATTGCAGTAAGTAATATAATTAAATTACTTAATACAAATAAAAGCCCATTTATTGTATTACAATAATTAAATATGGTTAAAGTAGATTTCATGTGTTAATCAATATAGACTTATTTTAAGATCTATAAAATTTGGAGCAAAAATGAAATAGACGTGTTTTTATTTACTGAAAATATATTTATGTAAGATACTTTTATAAAAAATTTTGCGTGTCTTTTTAAATAATGTAACCAAAATCGTTTTTTCACCAAGAATTTCTAAAACCTTTCTAGGTTCGTGTTAAATGAATATTCAACAATTACCTGATTGGGTTTTGAATTTAATTGTAAAGCCTTATGTTCTGATCTCGGTTTTAAATTCTCTCTCGGTGACATAGCCAAATTCGTTGCCTCCATTCTAAAAAAGAAATAATAAAATTGCAATTATTTTTGCAAACGAAAAAAGGAATGTATCAGACACTGAGAATTTAAAGGAAAAGAGAAAGAAATATTATTTTTTTCGCATTTATCCTAATATTATAAAGATGAAAGATTTGATTGTATCTTTGTTTGTGTTGAAAACCACCGAAAATTCTGGATATGGAATTTTTTTAAATTCTTTAATCTACGCTATACGCTATATATATATATATATATATATATATATATATATATATATATATATATATATATAATTACGAAGGCGAAGTCGAGAAGAAACAGCCAGTAATTAAATAAGAGCGAAATATACTATAAATATACCGTACACCCGTTCAACGTTACGACGTAAATAAAAATCTTGATAATAGATATTTAATGGTCGCTACCCACTTTAAAATTCGAAAATAAAACTTTTTTTTTTAAGAGTTTATGAATCCATGAGTGTTACGCTTTTGTGGAAAATAATAAAGACTATTGTTGCTCTAAATTATTGAGTAAAAAGAAAAAATACATATTTGTTTTGCCTTATTCCAATCTGTGTTTTCCTGTCAATAATTCTTAACTAACAGTATCGCTTCTGCTTTTCCTCATGAATGTATTATTTGCGAATCTCATACGTTGAACAATTTCTTTAACCGATTTGAAGTACTCTTCCTTTTCCTATAGCTCAGAGTTTATCTAAAGAAATTCGAAATAAACCAGTGGTTTACTTTAAATAAACTTCAAAACGAAATTTCATTGATTGGATATCTTCGACTCTATTTATGATTATTCGCATCATATTTGAAGAATGCCTTTTACTAATAGTTTTTCGTTTCTACAGCCAAAATCATATTACTTTTTGTTAGAAAATTTTTCGATAGAAATAGGTTTATAAAAATAAAAAATAAAACAAAAGCAAATGGTTTTTCGGAAAGATACCAAAGATAGTCTAACACTTCTTTCATGGCGAATTTATGTACATATTCACGGAGTGCCTATGAGCTACTGGCACTGTAAACAAGTATTTTGCTTGCTTAATTAGGAAAAAAAAACATTATTTTCATCACGCACGGTGCATCCCATCTATAAATTGTTCCAGTTGATTGTCAGCAAATGCGAAGATATTTTCCGCGAAGGTTTATACACAATTTAATGTAGATGGTTCGGACATTGAGGTTTTGAGGTTTATTATTCTTTTTGGTTTATTTATCGCCGGTAGCTTTTAAATCTTAAAAATATCATACTTTAAGGAATCTATAGCTCTTTATCTGTTACAACAACACTTTGGAGTATGCGATACTGGCATGCATATAATCCAAACGGGCTCCTTCAGCATATTCGTTCTAGAAGAACGCAGACTCCGTTTATTCACTCTATATTTGAGGATGTTGTATCAAAAACATACATTTTATCTTATCATATAAATTCTATAATAATAGTTTAGAAAATAGGAAAACTCATTGTTTCATTATTTCCATCTGGTACCTTTGGAACAGCGAAGAGCTGGTGGACTCTTTTTCCTGATACTGAGATTAGTAGTTGATCTACAAATACGAATAAAGCTAAAGTAATCTCATTTTTTATCACTTTAACTCGCAATCATGGCGTCACTGGATTTGGGTATAACTAGCAATGGATAAAATATTTATAATATTATATATAATATATGTATGTGCGAAATTAAATGGAAATGAGGTATCTATGAAGTGAACATACAAAGATACGGTTATTTTACGGTCGGAAAAATTATATAAATAAAACATAGTGTAACTGATGGAGGTGCTGGTCACAAACGCTGGTGGTAAATACATTGGCGTGCGGGAGCTGAAGATACTTTTTTAGAAAATTAGAAGGGAAAAAAATTAACAGCATCAATTGTCAGCCAGAAGTCTTCTTCTTCTTTAAATGGCTTATCTACGCATTTCGCACAATTCTGCCAATGTCAAGTGAATAAATGAATTTGTACATTTAAAATGAAAATGAAATGAATGAAAGATGGCGATGACTTCCGACTTTTTTTTCCAGCCAATAGTCAAACTATATTTTCTTTCTTTAAGATCATATCTTAAAAAAACAAATATCTTTTAAAAGAGGTTGTCATCGACAACACATAGCTTACATCACAGTTCTTGTAAGCTTAAGGTAATTCTTAAAAATTTGAGAAGTGGTAGCGATCCTTAAATCATCACATCACCAGCTCTTTTTACGTCCCCACTGCAGGGGCTCAGGCCTTCCTTATGGTTGGTTAAGGAGGATGGGCCATGACCCTCCACGCTGGCCCAATGCGGATTGGAGGGTATTAACGACTGCAAATGCAGCCGGGACCAACGGCTTAACGTGCTTTCCGAAGCACGGAGTAACTCGAGATAATCGAGTCACCCATCCCGTGACCGACCCTTGCGAAAGTTGCTTAACGACTACGATCGTGGACCGCGGCGCTTATCCACTACGCCACCGAGCTATCCTTAAATGTTTATTAAAAATCCGAAATTTAAAATTTAAGATGGCGGTCTCCCTGGCATAAAGCTCAGTAGAGAGTTGAAGCCCCTGACGTAAAATTCATAATTTTGGTTAATTTACTACTCTTTAAGTTACTATGCCTTCCTAAATCAGAGATAAATCCATGTATGAAGTCGTGTGGTGTTTGTCAACGAAAAAAAAATCAAACATGATCATTGCGTGTACTAACAATAGCCTACAACAAAAGGGGATATTACCATAAAACGAGTACATTTACTTTTGCCGCACAATAAACCTACACAGTGAGAAAGCGTCGAACGAATTGGGACAAAAGTGATCATTTTGTATACAAATAGGCAGTTTGCGTGCGAATTTACTGTATCGAATATCAATTGGGTATATTGAGGGTGAAGCGAGCTAATGTACAGAATACTTCCCCTCGTTGAGGAAATTTCAAAAGATAAACTCCGTTTTTTTAATTCAACAACGCTTTGAAGTTTTAATTATAGATTTAAGTATCATTTAATTATGTACCTACTAAGTTTTTCTTAAATATTTTTAATCATCAAAGTAAACTTTAATAAATTAAATAATTTCCTATTTTTGGTAAACTCTATCTATACTTATTTATCTTTTCTATACTAATATTATAAATATTTGATTGTTTGTTTGCAACGGACTAATTAGGTGGTGAAGTAGGTTTTAATTTACGTGAACGAAGTCTCGGGAAATCAGCTAGTGTATTTATATTATTTTTATCATTTTCATAAAATAATCAATATTTTTTTAAGTACTGACCAATGGATTAATGTGCCTTCGGAAGCACGGTGGAGCTCGTGATGATAAACATTTGGTTACCCATCCTATGACCGGTCTTCTGAAAGTTTCTTAACTTCCACATCGTAGACTGTGGCAAGTAGCAAGCATCGTAGACACCATCAAGTTCCTCTTTTATATTTAGGAGATATAAGAGTTTATATAAAATAGTTTTTCAAAACAATCTCAATTGAATCTAATGATAATATAAATAGAAGTGTTAACATTTAAGCGTTACGAAAGCACATCTCAATTCCCCTATGAATTTGAAATGTAACAAAAACATGTCATCACTCCAAATGATAGATCGTTTTAAATAAACCGTCGTCGGTACCAGTGAGTGGCCTTAATGTCAAAAATCAACATAGGGTTGTCTACTAACAGTAGGTCATTATAGGGTGTGATTAGTGAATTTGTGTCACCCCTAACTCGCGCCCGCCAAAATAATTGATTAACTACACGACATCAGTTTATTGTTGCTGCATATGCTGCTTTTTGTGGGGTAACATTTTGCTATTGATCTGTGGTGCTTTGGATAATACAATTTGCCTAATAGCATCGCATTCGTAACAAAAATTGATATAGTTATTGGTTGTAATTATTATTTCTAGCAGTCACGTGTGATATCGTATTATCGGAAGCGTGTGTTGTTCATAAATATATTACCAAGACACTCATAATAACGGTAATTATTATTATTGTGCGAATTTTGTAATGCTAATATACGTAGGACTCATATTATCATAAAGAAATAATGTTTGCCTTCAGGATAAAAAATGGCTTGCACTTTCAAAAAATAGCAAATCTCATGTAGAGTCAAGCTTCATTCTACACACGCAAACTTTACAAATACTAACTTCGGAACTTTAGATCTTAATCAAACCAAGAGGCTTGGACGATTCGCATACAATAAATATTGTACAAAAGAAAAGTAACGAACAGTGAATAAATCTTTCCCCTTACGCCCATGAGACGGTAGTAAAAAGTCTAAATCACACGTTTTGACTAAGGCGTAGAGTTTGTAAAATTAGGCCTGTAACGTTAGGGCGCATAGAGTTAGGGCGTGTAGAGTATTAACTCTACACGCTCTTAAGCTTGACACCAAATGAGATCTGATAACTTTTTGACAGTGCGAGCTATACCTATAGTATCATCTTGTCAATGTTTAACATCATTTTTTTTGTGTTATCGATTAATTACTATTTATGTTTGAAAATTTAATGTGCCAGTATAATCCAATGTCCAAACTCAGTAAAATGATGTAATTACCTAATTTTTTATTGAAGATTATTTATTTGCGATTATTGAAGATTATAATATCCTTAATTTTTCTCTTAATCAAAAATTCTTAAGACTCACCAAATAACAATGACTAATATGGTATATACTATTCAAGGGTAGATTTAAACTTTATCGTTTAGTTAGAAATTTAAAAATAAAACTGCTTATAAATTAATCATAATTCCAAATTTCACGGCACAGTGGTCGAGTACCTCTTAATATGAGAACAAAAAGTTTACAAAAGATTCACTTGTAATTATAAATCCCTTATTGGGCCATATGTTGATATCTGCGATACTGTCCCGGGGGTCGTGGGGATGAGCACATGTGCCACTTGTTTCGGAACTAATCGTTTTGGGGAAGCTTTGTAACACTGGTCGACGGAAGAAAATATTGCAGATTGTACCTAATTTGTTTTAAAACACGTTTTTAAAATT